CATGCCGAGGGGACCAGAGTCACGGGTGCTCGTTTTGTGGAACGGCTTGGGCTACTTATACTGTTTTCTCTTTTTTTTTTTTTGGCCGCGCCTTGGACCTTGCAGGATCTTAGTTCCCCGACCAGGGATTGAACCCGGAGCCCCGGCAGCGAAAGCACCGAGTCCTAACCACTGGACCATCAGGGAAGTCCCCTCTATTGTTTTCCTTTCCTCTTATAAACAGGACTGGTAGGAGAATCTAGTCTGGGGCTGTGTCTGGGGGGTGACAGTTCATAGGTCAAGGGCAATGTGTGTCCAGAGTGAGAGCTGGGGACCTAAGCATGCCCAGGTGGACATGACTGCTTATGGGTCAGGAGAGGAGCCCGGGAGGGGATCTGAAATGGGCCGAGCCAAGGAAATTAGTGTCAGGGCAAAGAGAGTGGTGGAAAGGGCCCGATACCGTAGACAGAGGCCTCCCCGTCGTAATGAAGTCGGATGAGGCTGCAGGGCGTCCTCCGAGTTACCTTCTCCAGAGTGGACTTTTGCCAGCACGCACTGCAGGTAGAGGCCAGACTGCAGGGAGGGGACCTGGGGAGGCGAGACTCACTTTTTCAATAATGTAGAGAGTTGGGAGAATGTGGAAGGTTGCTAGGAGAGTGAGGGCTAAGAGAACGCTTTATTATTTAATTAAAAAAAATTCTTTTTTGGAGTGTATTTGATTTACAATGTTGTGTTAGTTTCAGGTGTACAGCACAGTGATTCAGTTATACCTATACATATATTCATTCTTTTTCAGATTCTTTTCTCGTGTAGGTTATCACAGAACACTGGGTGGAGTTCCCTGTGCTAGACAGTAGGTCCTCGTTGGTTATCTATCTCATATATAGTAGTGTGTGTATGAAAAGAATGCTTTGAAACTAAACAGAAGGAGAATTCTGCAGCCCTTGTTTAGGCTGGAGAGGCGGTTGAAAAGGAGAGATTGGAAACAGAAGTGCCTGCTGAGAGGATGCTTCATGGAACAAGGCCCCGGGGGATTCAGGAGGGGATGCTCTGAGGCCAGATCCAGGACCTCACCGTGGACAGAGGAGGGGCAGGCGGAGGCAAGTGAGCTTCCTGCAAGCCCGTAGTGTGTCTTCCACGTGTCCTCACCGTGCAGCGGTGCCTGGCCCACAGCGGGTGAGGTCTTGGGGGGCAGGTGGGGAGATGCACGTAGAGCCCCGAGAGCTGAGAGTTCTGGCTCTGTCTGTGTTCATAGGCCAGGGGGCAAGACCATGTATTGAAGATGCAGGAGTGAGGGGTGGGGGCTTGGAGAGGGAGCTGCAGGTGGGGTGGCAGGGGGACCACTGAGGGAGGTGAGAGAAGAGGTTGGAGACGCATCTGCACCGCACGGAAGGCCCTCCGAGGTTGGGGACCAGGAAGGCAGAGGCTACATCCATGGGATGGGGGTGCAGGGGCGCGTCTCCTCCAGGTGCCGCCGCCAGGGTGGGAAGACTTGGCCAGCCAGGGTGAGGGATCCAGGTGGCAAGAGGGCGGGGCTCCTCTCAGTTTCCAGCATTGGCTTTCCAGTCCCCCATGTGAAAGCTCAGCTCCTGAGCTCAGCTCTTGACCTTAGACGAGAAGGGCAGAGTGCAGCCCTCTGGCCTCACCCCCAGGGGATGTGCACCCTACAGGTAGTGACCGTGTGCTGACCCTGGCAGGCAGACATTGAACTCATAATAATAAAATCAGCATTATCACTATTTTGTTGATCTATTCTATAAAACACACGGTACTAACTCCATGTAAAAAATACGACTTCAAGGGCTTCCCTGGTGGCGCAGTGGTTGAGAGTCCACCCGCCGATGCAGGGGACATGGGTTTGTGCCCCGGTCCGGGAGGATCCCACGTGCCGCGGGGCGGCTGGGCCCGTGAGCCGTGGCCGCTGAGCCTGCGCGTCCGGAGCCTGTGCTCCGCAACGGGAGAGGCCACGACAGTGAGGGGCCCGCGTACCGCAAAAAAACAAAAAACAAACAAACAAACAAACAAAAAACGACTTCTGAACAAGTTCCATAGAATCGGTCTCTTTTTTTCTTTTCTTCTTTTTAGCCGAGCCGTGCGGCTTGCGGGATTTTAGTTCCCCAACCAGGGACGGAACCCGTGCCCTCGGCAGTGAAAGCTTGGAGTCGTAACTACTGGACCACCAGGGAATTCCCAAGTTGGTCTCATTAATTGTAGTTATTACATTCATGTTTGAAGCTCCTTGGATAATGCCAGCTCTTTGCGGGTTGTTATCCCTAGAGATTTGCTGTTCATTTAATGTACTTGGAGCATCCCTGAGCACCAGCTCTGGAAGCCAGGTCCTCTGGATTTGAATACTGACCTTACCCTCGGTGCCTGACGTGCTTGGACCAGTTGCCACGCCTCCGAGTTACGAGGTTAAATGCACTAACGCGTGTGACGTGACGGCACAACCCCTCAGACCTGGTCAGCTCTCAGTCAAGGTGAGCATATCCACTGCCAACAAATATTCTCCTACTGTGTACCACGTAGTTTAGATATATTGCCTGATTTCATACAATGGGCTAGACATTCCCTTCATTTTGTCGTCGAGGAAGCTGTGGCTCAGAGAGGACAGAGTTTGCCTTGTTGGCCGAGGGAGGGGCAGAAGGGTTTATGCTCGCAGTTGCCTGGCTTGACTCAGTGCACCTGGCTGCCTGGTCTGTACCGTCGCTGTGTCCCCAGAGCCCAGGACGCTGCCTGGCGCATAGGCTGAGCGTGTGAACGCTAGTCTCCTGACCCTGCCGGTTCCTTTGTTTGCTGGGCGCTTCAGCATTTGGCTTGCGTGGTACCACACCCCTCTCATCAGCACTAACCTCCTTGCTGTTAAGCCTTTGTTTGTGTGTTGCCAATCCCCACCCCCCGGGGCTGGATGGATGTATTCACATATGCAGCAACGGAGGTCCAGCCTGTTAGAATCCAGGTAGCACTTTCCAGAAAGATTGTTCTGAACAGCCAAGGATGAAGCGTCCTGACTTTCTTTGCTTTTAAAGATTCAGGTACCAAATGCACCCTTGGCCGGCTTGTCCTCTTCTGCTATCCAAGCAGAGTCGATTTACAACGTTGTGTTAGTTTCTGGTGTACAGCAAAGTGATTCACTCACACACATACCTACATTCTTTTTCATACTCTCTGCCATTATGCTTTATCACAGGATATTCAATATAGTTCCCTGTGCTCTGCAGTAGGACCTTGCCGTCCATCCATGCACCTGCTGACGCCAACCTCCCAGTCTTTCCCTCGTCCAACCTCCCTCCTCCTTGGCAACCACAAGTCTGTTCTCTCTGTCTCTGAGTCTGTTTCTGCTTTGATCCTTCTTAGCCAGGATCAAATGTATGGAAGTGTTTTCACGTTGGCAGCTCACCTGGAAGTGAACATGCAGCCCGCTTCCAAGACTGTTGCTACTTTCGTTTTTGGAGGCTCGTGGCTCAGAGGACAGAGCACAGGATGTGGGTTTGAGACCCTGAGCTTCCCTGGCCTCTAATTCCTCACTTATAAAGCTGGAGCGATGCTCTCCCCAAGGTCAGGAGAGACGACCCGCCATAAGGGCATTATCATCGCAGAGGACCGTGAAAATAAAAGGGGGCATCTGGAGAGTTTATTAGCAAAAAGCAGGGGTTGGAGCAGAGCCCAAGGTGCCAATTCTAACACAGAGTTTCAAAAGAATATGCCCGAGATTCTACTTTTGTTATCTCTGAGTGATGAGCTTATGGGTAATTTCATCTCCTCGGTTTTGCCTATCTGCATTTCCTAGTTCTGCTATTAGGAACTTTTTTTTTTTTTTTTTTTAACTTAGTTGAGTCATTAAAAAACAAGTCATTAAAGATATCCAAGAAGAATGTTGTACTTACACTTTGATATTTAGTTGATACTTGAGGATCACTACTGTAAATATCTGATACTGTACAATAGATGTAGCTAGGTGATGGTATAACTAATATAAAATAACAGGATGGTTTCCATTGATTTTTTTTGTTTTTGTTAGGGGTTGTGGTTTTCCTGCCACAGTCTGATAGGTGGTTTGGTGGCTCATCCGGCCTGGCTTCTAGTGTGTGGCTTGTTCATCAGGCCTACGAGAAGCTAAGGTCCCCGGGGCTCTACCCACTCGACTCCCAAGTTTGTATCCAGATGATCATAGTGAAACGATTTTGCAAGTTCACTGTAAGCATGGATAACTGTGATACACTACAACAGGGTCACAGAAATTCCATGTCATCTGTGACCTTTCGGTCTTAACATTTCTGGAAAATTCTTCACGTTCTCCCGGACCTGGCCTCTTCTCAATTTATTTTTCAAAAGATGTCACTTTGAAATTGTTGAAGAATGGTGCACACTCGTTGTTATTTCTGCTTCTTTTAAATTGTTCATTATTCAAAGTCGCCATGTTCCACTATGACATTGCTCCTGCCTTTAGGATGGTCCGGCGACTCTTCAGATTCTGTGGGTCTGGGTCACCTGGCAGTTAAGGTTGACAGGGATGAGCCCCAGCCGAGGTCCCCTGGGGTCCCAGGCTCGGCCGACATTCTTTCTCCTCACCCCACATTGGCCACGAATGTTTCTATTGAACTCAATGGTCTCGAAATGTGCTTGTCCATGTACTCCTCTGAAAATAATTTTGAAAAATTGTGTTCGCTCTTGCATAATTCCTAGTGAACATCTTTCATCATAAGTTTAAATTCTAAATTTTGAAATCGTGTAATAAATGTTAGGTCCCTTGTTTAAGGATTCTCAACCAGAGACCGTTTTGCGTCCCAGGGAAGCATTTGGGCAACATCTGGAGGCATTTGTGGTGGTCACAACTCTGTGTATGTGTGCGTGTGTGCGCGTGTGCATGCGTGCGTGTGCGCGTGTGTGCTGTGTGCGTGCGTGCTTGCGCATGCGCCTGTGTGCTGCGTGCGTGTGCGCCCGTGTGCGTGCGCGCGTGTGCATGCGTATGTGTGTGTGCACGCATGCGTGCGTGTGTGCGGGCATGTGTGTGTGCGTGTGTGCATGCGTGTGCACGTGTGTAGATCAGGGATGCCGCTCAACATCCTATAATGCAATGCGCAAGAAAGAATTATCAGGGCAAAATGTCGATGGTGCTGAGGTTTGAGAAACTTTGTTTTGAATGCACCCTAAGGAATATGAACATCATGGTGCTTTTATATTCAGCAGCATCCATTCAAAAAACA